TTTTTTTTTTTTCCCCTTTCCCTCAGTGTTTTTTTGAGATGGGGACACTCTAAGGCTTCGTTCACACCATACGTGCAGAAAAACTGATGGAAACTAACGAGCAGATTTCACTTGCAGAGACATCAGTTTTCATGCACACTTCCATGAGTTTTATACACTTTGCAGATTCCTGTGCAGAAAAATGATGTGCATGCAATACTAGTGTTGTGGTGTGAACAGGGCACATAGAGAACAATTGCTTTCATTGTGCTCTTGCAGAACACGTGCAGAAAAACGTTAGTCTCTGCACCATGGTGTGGATGAGCCCTAAAAGAGAAGACTCTGCATTTTAGTCCACTTTAATTATTGAGAAACACATTTTTTACGTTGCAAAGTTTAGGTTTGGAAGAAAGGAGTATCTCTTTCAATAAAATGTTAAACTATCTAAATATAACTGCCACTTTCCATACTTCCCACAGATTATGCGAGGTTCTGCTACTCATGCTGTTTTTAGCTTTCTCCTAGCAGCCAACCTACTATTGGGCAGGTTGGCTGCCAACTTTTTGGAACCTTTTTGAATATTTGTTTTTTTCTGTGACGAGACAAACACCAGCACATCCTCTCCCCTAGATAGCAGTATCTTTTTGTTACTATTTACATGGCCAGTAACATGGCTTTCTTTTTGATTTTAGCTGTGGAAAGCCCCTTTTAGTAGTTTTTGTTGATAATCTTGCAATGTTTCCACCACTAATGTATCAAAATGGTTAGTTGTATTAACACCTTACCTGCAGCAAAATTGATATTTAAAAACCTTGATTCTATATTGTTTAATTATAAAACAGATGGCAAATGTAAAGAAATCATTATACCATTTGTTTGCAGACTACTTACTTTGCCTATGATGTTCTAAAATATTTGCGTGCAGACGAGACACCGCTAGGTGTGAAACTTCTGCACAATAACTTTGTCTTATTTTATCTCATCTTAAGTCTATCATGAAACGGGAGTTTCAGTCTTAATGAAACCATATTGGTCTGTTGATTAAATACTTTCTTTTCAGTTTAAATCGATTTGATCTGAGAAAATTTGACGGACTTAGCAAATTTTACCTGTTTGGTGATCTAAATATCTAACATTTTCCATCATTTGCTGCTCCTAGATGAGCTTTTGATCTAATGTATAGCAATAACATGGATCCTGCGCTTGTCAAGGTAGAAAATTGTATAAATTATCTAAAAAAATCTACTTGCACCTAAACTGTGCCTTTCTTTCTTTATAAACAGTGTGAACATGAAAATAAAAAATAGGTTTTGTGCTAAATATTTACCAAAATGTAACCTTCATAAACACTATAAACAACTGATAGACAATAAGCGTGGTGAACATGCATTAGTGACAGTATATAAGGAGTAGTGCTTCAATGTTTAACAAAAGTGATAAGAAATAAAAATTAAATATAGACTTTCTTCAAACAGTGTCCATTTCCTTAAACATTCTTTCATAAATCCTGTTCTCTTCATAGTGCTTTTTTACATCCAAAAAACCTGTACTGTGAACTACGAAATACCTCCTCCACGATTCTACAATGTGTTTCAAGATGCTCACACCCAAAGTACGCGCTCACCAGCAACTCTATGAACTCTATGGGCATATCAATTGTAGTGCAGCACCCATTATTTATTTATATTGGTCTAATGTGCTTGCCACCCATCATGCACGTAACCAGTTTACTTTTTAGTACAGTTTTTTTGGTTTATGAGCATCTGGGAGAGAAACCTGGAGAACATAGCAAATCCATGGACATCGTGTCCATGCTGGGAATGAAACCCAGGGCCTCAGCTTTACAATAATCTCTCCATGGGCTGTTTCTAATTGTCTATCTTTAGCAGTTTTATAATGAACTTTTATTCGTTTCATTTGTTACTTAGGAATACCTTTTAAAACAAGATCATCAATGTGTACGATTAGTACTTATAATCATTGTGCGTCTTCTCAGGGGTTACTTGTTAATCATTCTGAATTATGCAAATCCTTATAATCTGATGGGATTTCCTGGTTTAGTTGCAGAATGTAAATAATATGCCTGTGGGTGTGGCTAATTATTGTCAATGTTGCCAGCTTGACTAGGAAGAGAGTAGTTCTTATCATACCCATGAGTTTGTACATAAGCTGTACAGAGTTATTCCAAAAACCTCAGTTGAAAAGATACAGTAGTAAAAAAAGATGTTGTTTTACCTATTCTTAAGCCACTCCGGTCACATGATGGGCTTCCATTGTAGAGAAGAGGCAGAGACAACTGCTGCAGGACCTGGATGATGATGTCACCCATAGGCTTACTATGGGGCGGCCGTTGTCAGCTGTCCCTCCTCTACACTGAAACTGGCACTGAATTCCAGTCGTGATTGGGTTGGAGCAACTTCTGAATAGGTACGGATATACATCTTTCTTTTACAGGGTAGGTAGTATAGTATGAGAATATAGGTGAGAGTAGATTCCCTTGACAACATCTGTTGAGACGAAACATACGTCGGGGTAGGACGGAGTTTGTGCTCATGTCAACTACTCTTTGCTGGAGCCAGCATCCATGGCGTTTGACACTACATGTGCTTAATAGGAAGTTATTTTGTAAGTATTTTTTGGCTTGAATTAATAAACTTTTTTGACAGTATTTCTGTGTGAGAGATCTATCTTTTATGCCGAGTTAGATCAGAAAGCAGAAGGAGATAGCAGTGCCGTATGCATTTCTGTGTCGGATGTCCCGGGTCAAGATCCATGCAGCTTCATGTCGTGTCAGACCACCTATAATTTGGGGTCTGATTATCCAGTAAGAGGCTGTATGTGTAGGTGGTGGATTCACTTATTACAATTCACTGGGTCTTACCTAGGACACTATGGACTCTTGATTTCACAGATGATTTTATTCCATATTTTTCAGTTATTCACCTTCTGGATTTGCATTTATGAAATTTGAGCAGATTTATTTATTTTTCATTGTCACTTTAATGACGGTATCAATTAGGATTATTGAGTTACATGGCACAACTATATTTGGTTTATTTTATATGAGAGTATATTTAGGTTTAGTTAGAATTTGACTGGAATTCCACTTGAACTTATATAGAAGGGGTTACGCCATGGTAATTATCCAGAAGTCATTTGTCCTGTCTCTTGTTTGCAAGTGAGACCGTATCATATTTTTTACACAGCAAGGGTGATTGATAAATATATTTAGGCAGATCCAGACATCACACATCCCTTCCAGTGGGGAATGTGGGGGTCATAAAATGGATACTCTTTTAGGTAAAAGTGGTTGTGTTGCACAGAGCACACTGACAGAATCTAATACTGGCTGCATGTAAAAAGGAAAGTGTTTTCTCTAGGCAATAGCCATTATAAGGCTGGTCATGCACAGGCAAAGTTTTTGGCTACAGCTCTCATCGCTTTTGATCACCCAGCTACTAATTTCTATACATAAACAAAAATGATATGCAATATGTAGAAGCGATCAATTGCCAGAGGTGGAGCATTGTGCAACTAATAGCTGTTAATCACTACTACTTGCTACATTCTATTGTTGCTTATGTGTAGAGATAAGCAGGTGTCGCAAAAATTGCAGTGTGAGCCCAGTCTAAAGCTGGGTACACATTATATAAACCGTGGGTTGAATGAAAAAAAGGTAACATTCCCGCTGAACCAGCCAAATTTCAGTCAATGTATACCTGGCTTTTGTTTTTTTTTTGTTTTTTTCGATTAGCCATTGGACTGATAGAAAACATACGGATTCCCCCATCCACAAATGTGAGGTGGATGGAAAAGTTCTCCCTACTGTGTGATTGCATTCTGACAGTAGGACTCCTGATCGACAGCTGCACTCAGTTGGTTGCAAGCAGCTGATCAATGAAAGTTCCAAGTTACGTTCAACAGAAGACAATCATTAGATCTACTTCTGTCATGTGGGAGCAGCCATAGATGGATTGAAATTTTGTCCTGTCCCTGCTGAACTGGCTGAATTTGAATCAGTCTATTTGCAGCTTAACAGTTTGTGAAATTGTCTTTGTTAATTTGACTCAAGATGCTCTTAAAATGCAAGTGCCATAGGGGAAATTGTTAAAGTACAGCACAGTGGCTAAATGGTTAGCACTTCTGCCTGGCAGTACTAGGGTCGCTGGTTCAAATCCCAACCATGGCATCACCTGCCTGGAGTTTGCATGTTCTCCCTGTGCCTGCGTGGGTTTCCTCACACTCCAAAGACATGTGGTAGGTTAATTGGATCCTGTCTAAATTGGCCATAGTATGTGTATGAATGTGAGTTAGGGACCTTAGATTGTACGCCCCTTGAGGGTTAGGGACTGATGTGAATGTACAATATATATGTAAAGCACTGCGTAAATTGACGGCGCTATATAAGTACCTATAATAAACAAAGTAGAACTATAGGCAAAACTTTTTTTTTTTTTTTCCCATTTTGGCTAGAGCAAGGGAGGGTTATAACTCCTGTCAGGTTTTTTTGCCATCTGTGTCCCTTTGCGGAGCTTTCCCTTCACTTCCTGTCCCATAGCCAAACAGGAAGTGGTAGGAAATCCCTGCAAATTAAAGGAATTCCTTGGGGACCCCCAGATCACCAGAACTAGTGTCTCCATTGGAAGATTTCCCCTCTATTGCTTTTCTGGAGACAACACAAAATTTTAGATTTTCTTTTACTTTCACAATAAAATGGTAAACTGGACAAATGGGGTGAATCTCCTTAACGAGGGCACGGGCTGCAATAAAAACTAAGTTTTGCCTCTAGTTATACTTTAACATGTATTGATTTTCTGTAGATTTAGATCTTTTCATTTTCTTATTCATAATCTTTTGGCTATATGATGATCTTTGTCTATTTAGTGCCAGACTGTGCATTTTGGTAAAACGCATACAGATGGTGTTACGGTTTTCAGTGTACATTTGCTATGTTTAACATTTTTGTTTTGCCATGAATTATGTTCCACTATGTCTTTTGGGGCCATCTTTTTTCTTTCCAGGCAGTAGCAGCAGTAGCAACTCAGACTCCACAGTGATAGAGAGACCAGTGGATAAGAAGTTACCTAGTGAGTGGCAGCTCCTGACTAATGCTTGAACATGCTCTGTATTCCCCATTCAGTTGCTGCACTGCTACTTGCTATTGAAGCGATATGGATGATCAATCCCCAATGCATGCTTTCATCTTTACTGTGTTTAGTTTTTTTCACATCCTTACACTTTGCAAATGCTCTGCTGTGGAATATTCTGCGCTCAGATCATATGCCCTGCCAAAATAATAATCTCTGAAGAAGCAATAGTTTACTTACCATTTTGTGTCTGTGTTCTTGCTGCTCTATATCTACAGTAAAATATTTAGTGAAACAAAATGTGTTCGTTTGCAGCACAATGGCTTAAAGGTTAGCACTTATGCCTTCCAGCAGTGGAGTCCTTGGATGGAATTTTGGCAAGGACATAGTCTCCTTGGAGTTTGCATGTTCACTATGTGCGGGTTACCTCCAGGTATTCTGGTTTGCTTGGGAAGCAAGAGGTTAAGCATGTTTTAAGTCAGAGCTGCCCTACCTGCAGCCCACAATGGCTATGAATATGGCCCAACACAAAATCATAAACTAACTTAAAAAAAAAATTTTTCCTGTAAAAATGCATTTACACTTAGTAAACATATGCAGCTGAAGAAATATTTGACAGTGTCTCTTTACTGGACTTTTATAAGTTTTATCTCCCCAAAGAAAAAATATCCACTCCTTCACAATCAAACCTTATATACATGTCATCAGTTTTCGTCAGCACTTATATATGTGAGCCACTATTTTAAAGGATGAAGCACACAAAGGGCAAAACTAGAAAGCATCAATATATCAAAATCTGATGAACACATTGAAAATTACTACTACTGCCATCAAAACCAAATATTGATGCATTTATCAAAAACAGTGTGAAATATCTAACTAGTTTTATGTTGCCCTCATTTACTTTTATAATAAAATTATATTACAAAAAAAAAAAAGAAGTTTTATTACTCAGATAGGTAAATTACTTTTATCAGTGGTCTTTAACTTGTGATCTGCCTGACTTTTTCTGCTTATCTGCTATCCTTATTGTTAGTGTATTTTATGTGTGGCTCACGACAATTCCTCTGTGGCCCAGTAAAGTCAAAAGATTGGACACCCCTGCTTTAAGGACAACACAAATGTAATAAACAGTATCATATGTCTGGCATTCAGCTTTAAAGTGTGTCTGTCTGAGCAAAATAAAAACCAATTAGCACATCTTTGCAATATATTCACTTTTTCCTGTTTTATACCTTTTAAAAATGTTGCAAGTAATGCTGCTCGACTACAAAACTACCCCCCATAGCATCTGCTATACAAGTACATCTTTTTTTTTAACGTTAATGCTGGTTGTTACCCCAAAGCATCTCCTAGTTAATATAATTATTATATAGTTAATTGCCCTTATGTATTAGAGAGTGTGACGGACACAGCTTCAGACCCTGGCCACCTTCACCAACTACTGACAAATAGCTGGTCAAACTCACATTGCACTGTCACTGATACGGGACAATGACACTCTCAGCCTCGCCCTGCACAAAGAGAGCGATCATCACTAGGTTTGGTTATCCATGCAGTTAACCCCAGAACAATCACTACCACCAGATATTTTTATCATCAAATATCAAACATTCACATTAACCATTACAACTCATAACAAATATGTGCAATACCCACTGTTACCACAGACCGCAATATCCAGAGATTTACCATTTAGTAGTGCTCTTCGAAGAGACAGGGACTCTTTAAATTCTGCCTTCGTGCATTACAGTAGAGACAATATAAATGCTTTCCAAAATATTGTTTAACCACTTCCTGTCCGGACACTTTTACCCCCTTCCTGTCTAGGGCAACTTTCAGCTTTCAGCGCTATCACACTTTGACAATTGCGCGGTCATGCAACACTGTACCCATATGAATTTTTTACCATTTTGTTTTTGGACAGATAAAGCTTTATTTTGGTGGTATTTATTCACCGCTGGGATTTTTTTTTTTTTTTTTTTGAGTAAATGAAAGTTCCCAAAATTTTGAAAAAAGTGTTTTTCTTATAAAATTTTACTAACAAATAATTTTTCATCATAAATCTTGGCCGAAATGTATTCCGTTATCTTTTTAGTAAAAAAAAAAAATAAGCCAAATTAGTTTATCACCAAAAATTATAATTTTTAAACATTTTGTTTTACATTTTTATTTTATTTTTTTTATATTATTATTTATGTTTTTTTTTTTTGTTTTTTTTACATACTGTCACCCTAGCAGTACAGTGTCACCATGGTGACACTGTACTACTTGTGGGGGGTGATGAAGATTTTTTTTTTTTTTTTTTTTACAGTGATTGCTTTTACACCCATATGAGATGTAAAAGCAATCAATTATTTTTCGGTCTGTCTGCATTCTTGCAGCCATTGAGAAATACTGAGTGAGCTGTGATTGGTCACAGCTTGTCACATGGTACAAGGCTGTTGTGAATAGCCTTGTACCATGTGACCTCTGTGATCATTCACAGATTTCACACGTAGTAAGCAATGCTGTCACAAGTGACATCTTGCTTACTACTTTGCATGTGAGCACATGATCGGGACCTCGTACAGAGGTCCCGTCTGAAGATCAGTGTTTCACTGTGTCCGGAGGACACAGCGGGCACCGGATCACGGTGGTGCGTGCTCCAAGGGAGCACGCACAGCTAGAAATAGCGGGTGCCGTTTATAAACCGGCGACCCGCCCCTGGAGTGCCACCGTCCTGCCGTTTATAAACAGCAGGCGGACGGCAAGTGGTTAATAATAGAAAAGACATAAGGAAGGAAATTGCTGCGCTTAGGTGAAATGCCTATAGGCCACAGAACTAAAATTTGTGATACCAAATTAATACATAAGAGAGTACAGCGCTAAAATGTAATATACAAAATATATCCAGTAAACATAACATATAGCCTGCTGAAGCAAATAGGATCAATATGTGCAAAAATCCAACAAAACATATATCACCAACTCATTGGGGTTGATTTACTAAAACTGGCATCTGCTCTGCACAAAAACCTGCTTCCAGGTTTGCAAAGCTTAATTGAACAAGAAGCTGGTTGGCTACCATGCACAGCTGCACCAGATTTTGCATTCTGCAGTTTTTAGTAAATCAGCCCCACTTATGTCCATATAACACTCAGGAAAAAAAGTGCTATAGTGTTCCACTCCTTGTAATAAGTCAGGTCTGGAAAGACACCCAACAATCCACTCCTTTTGATATTTGTTTATCAGGAAAGACACCCAACAGTCAGTGCTCCCCTCTGTGAATGCATAAGACACTTGCTGGATCAGCATGACCACTATATGATAAATGAAAAAACAGCACACAAGGTTATATCCTCCCTGTCTTAGCCACACCAGTACAAACACATCCTGGGAAGTATTCACAAGTTCCCCCCAAAAAATACCATATAGAGAAAGTGGCCACTTCCCTGATGATGTCTACTATGACAAAAAGCATTAGGCGGGGCTGTTGGACTTGACGTCATCACGCACCATGTGTTGTGGTACTGTCTTACTTTTGTTATTTGAATATGGAAGGGTGCAGTTTGCCTTTTAATAAATTAGAGTTTAACTTTATTACCCTGTGTGGTATACTTGCGGGGGAACGTGTGAATACTTCCAGGGATGTGTTTGTGCTGATGCACAGCTGAGATCCAGTAGTGATTGCTGTGTGTCTTTCATGATAAACAACTTTCACAAGGAGCAAATTTTTGGGTGTTTCCAGACATGAATTATTACAAGGAGTTGAACATTATAGCACTTTTTTCTGAGTGTTTTATGGGCACATATGGGCACAATGAGTTGGTGATCTATATGTTGTTGGATTTTTACACTTATTATTATTATTGATACTTCTATAGCGCTGTCCATTTACTCAGCGCTTTATATATAGGGCAGCACAGTGGCTAAATGGTTAGCATTTCCGCCTGGCAGTACTAGGGTCGTTTGGTTCGAATCCCAACCACGGCACCACCTGCCTGGAGTTTGCATGTTCTCCCTGTGCCTGCGTGGAATTCCTCTGGGTACTCCGGTTTTCTCCCACACTCCAAAGACATGCTGGTAGGTGAATTGGATCTGGTCTAAATTGGCCCTAGTATGTGTATGACTGTATGTTAGGGACCCTAGATTGTACACCCCTTGAGGGTTAGGGACTGATGTGAATGCACAATATATATGTAAAGCGCTGTGTAAATTGATGGCGCTATAGAAGTACCTAAAATAAAAATGTATATATTGTACATTCATATCAGCCCATAAACCTCAAGGAGCGTACAATCTAATGTCCCTAACTTACATTCATACTTATACATACTAGGGCTAATTTTGATAGGAACCAATTAACCTACCAGCATGTCTTTGAAGTGTGGCAGGGAACCGGAGTACCCGGAGGAAATCTAAGGAGCCACAGGGAGAACATGCAAGCTCCAGGCAAGTGCTGCCATGCCACTCACTTTCATCTTATTTGCTTTAGCAGGCTTAATATTAGGGATTTTCCTTTTTATGAAAGATTACACATATGTTGATATGTTTTTAGGTTGATGAGTCTCTGTTTACATGTCTATTGAATATATTTTGTATAACACATTGTAGCGCTGTACTTTTTCTTAATAATAGAAAAGGTAACAGTACAGATAAAATATTTACATAAGAGTATTACAAAGGGAAAAAAGACAATGCAAAGAAAAACAACAAGGTTTTAAAAGTTAAAATACTTAACCTCCATGGCGGTATTCCCGAGTGTAGTTCGGGGTTAACTTTCAGTACCAAAAGCGGTAACCCCGAGCTACACTCGGGATTACCCTACAGCGTTGCTCAGGGATTCCCTCCAGCACTTACCTTGTACTCCCGCGATGTGTCCCATGCAGCGTCCCCGGCCATCTCCTCCAGCTGATGCCGGCATCCGTCTTCCGGGTTCCGTTCCCTGTGAGCGGCAGGGGGAGGGGGGGGGGAAATTAAAAAATTTTAAAAGTGACATTCACTCAATACACTAAAATCACATAGTATA